CACGGCGAACTGTAGGTCACGGTGGTCGCCATGGTCGCCATGGAGTCTCGGCGACCAAGGCATGCATGCGTTGCATCATAGCTCATAGCTCTGTAGCTGCATGCATGCGTTGCATCATAGCTCATAGCTCAGAGATTCCTGCACCCGTAGCTGTATGTGTTGCATCTATAATTACGTTATTGCAGCGTTAATTTAGCTGTGAGCCTTTCAATGCTCAATAGTTAACGCTCAGTTGCTTTATATAAAGGATATGGGGTATAGGGTAGAAGCACAAGCAGAACCAGCACATATAAATTTTGCCGAGAGAAATAAAAGGAAGAAGAAGAAAAGAAGATAAAGGCTCAAACATAGTTGAGGTAATTTTTTTATTGTTTAATTTAGTTTATTATATGAAATTATTAGTTTGTTAGTTTCGGGTGCAACTTAAAACTAAAATCTAGTTAATTAGTTTGTTAGTATAAATTATTAGTTTGTTAGTTTAAGTTATATTATATTAGTTTATTAGTTTAAGTTATATATTATATTATATAAAAAATTAGTTAATTAGTTTCTTAGTTTAAGTTATTAAATATAAAAAATATTAATTAATTTGTTAGTGTCTTTAAACGTATATTAGGTTGTTCGTTGAAGTTGAAGTTATATTATAAAAAAATTAATTAGTGCTTAATTAGTTTGTTATTTTAACTAAGTTATATTATAATAAAGAAATAGTTTATCAGTTTAAGGTATATTATAATATATTAGATTATATAAAATTAATTTGTGGGAGCTATTGTTGTTTAAATAAATATTTTGTTTACACATACATGACATTATTTTACAATATTTGCCCACGTACAGATTGATTCGAAGAAAGAAACAAGGCAGGAAAAGAAAGTAAAGGAAGAAGGCATAAAGACGTGAGTAATTTATTATTTTTTGTTGTCCATTTTTTGTTGTTGTGTATGTGTAAATTAGTTAGTTAGTAAGTTTATATTAGATTTATATAAACTAATTTGTGCGAGATAATTTCCGTTTTAAAAAATATTGTGTTTAAAAATATTTAGTGTTGTTTTAAAAATATTTTGTTTAATTTACATTGTATGTGTATATTAGTAAGAAGTAAAAATTAATTGAATGAAATAATCCGGACAACGCATTATCTCGCGAAATAATTATTTTGAGAACATTATCTCGACAGTTTTGCCTAACAAATTTGTTTGATATTTTTAAAAAAAATATTATCAAACTAATCATTATTATTAGTAATAATTACTAAATGATTAGTATCAAATCTAAATCATTAAATATTTATAATAAATAATTATTAGTGATTATGACTAAATCATATTATTATTAAATCATTAAATATCAAATCATTAGATTAATAGTAATTATCAAATCATTATTAGGTTTATTAGTAAGCAATCAATCAAGTTAAATAATAACTTTTATTTGATCATTAATAATAGTATATTATATTATATTTAATAATTTATGAAATTATCTTATCTAATTTTTTAATCTAAATTAATTTATTTTTTTATTTGTAGAGAAAATGAGCAACAACTTTTTCACGATTGTCCATTATAATGGACAGATTATGGAAAATGAGGTCGGAGTAGTTTTTCAGTCTGAAAAACCAATAAATATGATGTTCAAAAAAGACATCACATTTATAGAAATGAAGCATAAGATAGAAAGAAAAATTCGAGCTGCAGTGGATGGTTTGAGGTATAGGTTTATGATATGCTCTAACCCAGTCAGATATGATGCAGTTCCACTTGAAGAAGATGATGATATTGGAACCATGGTTGGATTACATGAGTCAACCAATATAGCAGTTATTGAATTATTTGTTGATGTGCGTAACATATGTGATGTTCCTGGGTCATCAAGAGGTGTGGCTCAAAATCCATCTGAAATGGCTTTATATAGTCAGTTTGAGGAGCCGACATACAGGTTCCCGAACAGTTTTATGGCACTATTGGAAAGTGTAAATGAAGTCGGGGGGACATCTACAGCAGCAGAGTATGAGACGAGAAACATACCGGAATTGGTTGTTGATATTGACGCTGAAAATCGATGGGGAGAAATTCATGATGATTCAAGCGAAGATGAAGAAACTGAAGAACCCGTTTTGGGCGGCGACGAAAATATTTTTGGTGGAGGTGCAATTGATGAAGTTCCGACACCGTATGAAGCTACTCCTCACATGTACGAGATAGATTATGATGCAATGAGGGCACCTGAATTCCCAGACATGCCACATTTACCTCCGTACCAAATGACTGAATCATTCGATAATTCTGGTGAATTTTCAGTTGGGGTGCAATTCAGAGGAAAAAATGAAGCTACGCTGGCTATTAAAGAGTACTGCATCAAATGCCATGTTGATGTCCATGTTGCAGAGTCCAACCAGAAAACCCTATACGCAAAGTGTGTAAAATATGGCCCAGAGTGCAAGTGGAAGATCAGAGTGTCGAAAAATCAAAGGCACGATGTTTGGGTCATCACGAGGTACAATGGTTCGCACACATGTTTGCGAAACTCCATCGAACAAGACCACCGACTATTGGACTCCGATGTAATATGTGAATACGTGAAGGCGATGGTTGAAAAGGATCCAAGGATATCTTGTTCAGTGTTAGCTGCATCTATTCGAAGCCAATTTGGATATCAAGTAAAATATGGCAAGGTGTGGAATGCGAAAATGAAGGCAATGAAGTTGACGTATGGAGATTGGGATACATCGTACAATGAGCTACCACATTTGCTACAAGCAATGAAGCGATTTATCCCAGGAACTATAGTGAAGTCTCAAACCATGCCCGCATATGACGAAGAAGGTCAACTTATGCCAGGGAAGAAAATATTTCATAGACTATTTTGGGCATTCAAGGCATGTATTGAAGGATTTCCATTTTGCAAACGTATGATCCAAGTAGATGGTACGTGGTTGTATGGTCAATATAGGCATGTACTTTTGATGGCAGTTGCTCAAGATGGTGAGCGAAATATCTTCCCAATTGCATTCGCCATTGTTGAGGGAGAGACAACAGAGGCTTGGGATTTCTTTCTGACCAATCTACGTCAATATGTCGTTCGTGAAGATGGAGTTTGCTTGATATCCGATAGAGGAACGGGTATTTTGGCGGCAATTGAACGACCAGGAAGTCGTTGGATACCTCCGTATGCATATCCGACATTTTGTATCCGTCATATTGGCAAGAATAGTATCGACCAGTTTCATAACGCACATATTCGTAGCGAGATAGTCAGCATGGGTAAGTTTTATTTTCAATATTTGTGTATTTTTTACGTGGTTTTTTTAATTGCGGTTTAACACAATATATTATGGAACAGGATACGAACTACGTCGACCAAATTTTGACAAGAGATTGGAGAATTTGAAGGTATTTTACGATGATCAGCGTGTTTGGAAGTGGGCTTCAAAAATACCGCGAGAAAAATGGTCGCAAGCATACGATGAAGGTCGGAGATACAGACATATGACCACAAACCTTGTTGAGGCCATTAATTCGGTACTAAAAGGTACACGCCATCTCCCAATAGCGAGTGTGGTGAAAGAGACGTACTTTAGACTGGGTAAAGTTTGGTCGGACAAAGGCAAGGAAATTGAGAGTCTCATAAATAGAGGTAAAACTTGGGCTCCTACAGTGGTGGAATCAATGGAAGCAAATGAGCGATTGGCAACATCAATGGTTGTTCATAATTTCGACCGAGTTGGTCATACTTTTGTCGTGTCGTGCATACGTCGTAACGTCGGAGGAGAAGACCAAACATTTAGAGTTGATTTACGACACAAATGGTGTGATTGTGGTCGTTTTCAGGCATGGAAATATCCATGTGCTCATGCAGTCGCTGCATGTATGTATGCTGGTGTAAGCGCATACACTTATGTTGATGAATGCTTCCACCTACGTAGGATATTAAATGTCTACAGCTATGTGTTCAGACAGATCCCGAATGAATCATATTGGCCCAAAAAGGATCATGATGAATGGCTACCAAATCCAATGCTTCGCAGAAGTCCAAAGGGTCGACCTGAGTCCACTCGAATTCATACCAGTATGGATTTTCATGCTATAGAGAGAGGTCAAGCAAAGAGATGGGGAGAACCATTGGCTCGTATGGCTCGTATGTCACCCCGTTTGGCCACCTCGCATGGGGAGAACGCTCGTATGGCTCGTATGCATGGGGAGAACCATTGGCTCGTATGGCTCGTATGCATGGGGAGAACCATTGGCTCGTATGTTCCCGTATGTCGCCTGGATTGCATGGCGTCCTACAAGATCGCCTGGATTGCATGGCGTCCTATGGCGATCACTGTAGAATTCACCCCATTTCAACAATTAATCTGGGATGTGCACCATATCTTGAAAAAAAAAATTCGAGAACGTTATCTCGTGAATTCACCCTATATATATATATTCAAACTCGAATCCTTTAAAAAATAACAATGTTTTTGTTAGGATTAAAAAGACTCAATAGGTTCTCGTATAGAGTGCGTACATATGCATTAATGATGGCTTATTTTTTAGAGGTTTATGAAATCATACAGTGTTATTAACATGGCGTAGGAGCCCATACCCACGAGTAGGTAAAAATGGAGGAGGAGGAACCCATGCCCAGGAGTAGTCACTCAGCCTTTCGCTATCAATTCACATGCACCATGCTATTTCAAAAAAGAAGAAGAAGCATGCACCATGCAAGTGGAGTCCATTACTGACCCACCTTAACCTAATGGGTTAATTAGGGGACCAAATTATAAGTAACAAACCTTATAAACTCCACCCCGTCTCCGTTTTTCCCTGTACTCCTTGTTTTTTCTTCCTTCCAAATTTACATTAATATGTTTGTATCGTCTCTCATTTCTGTTGATTTTTGGCCATTTTTATGTCAACATTGCTTTTGATAAGATTTTTTTCTTTTATAGAAGCTTTCTTGGTAAAGAACTTTAAAAAAAAGTGTTTTTCATTCTGTTTGTTTCTCTCAGCACTGCCGTTTACGTTTCCTTTCTTTTTTGTTTCTCTGTCCGCTATGGAAGAACTGATAATCTCTCCAGCTTCATCTTCTTCACTGGTTTATTTTACCCAAGAAACTTCAACACATTCAACTATCCAGCAGTGTCTCCAGTTCGTAGTTCAGAGCCAGCTGAATTGGTGGACTTATGCCATACTGTGGCAGACATCAAACGATGAACACGGTCGTCTGTTCTTGTCGTGGGGAGATGGGTATTTCCATGGCACCAAAGATGCGTCTCCAGCGTGCCTAGGAAGTGACAGAAGTAAGGTGATGAAAGGAATCAAAGCACTCATTGGAGATAATAACAATGAATTTGATGTGTCGATGATCAACGGGTGCGGCGTCTCCGATGCTGAATGGTTCCACGTGATGTCGTTGACTCGAACTTTCCCTGCCGGAGAAGGGATTCCGGGCAAGGCTCTTAGTACTGGCTCTTTGGTTTGGTTAACCGGTGCTCATGCAACGCCGTTTTACAATTGTGAAAGAGCTATAGAAGCACAAATGCATGGCATTGAAACGCTGGTTTGTATACCAACTTCTTGCGGGGTTGTTGAACTAGGATCCATGGAAATGATCAGTGAAAATTGGGGTTTGGTCCAGCAAGTTAAGTCCCTATTCGGGTCTGATCCCATTGGCTTGGTGGTGCCAAAACAATCAGGTCAGTTCCCTGACGTAAACATCTCTTTTGCCGACATCGGAATAGTTTCCGGTGTCGAAGAAGAAGATGCAAGTCCTGATAATGAAACCAAGCAAGAAATCCCCAACAACAGAACCAAGAAATTCTCCACCAAAACCGGGCAATCTTCGTATGTGGACTCAGAGCATTCCGATTGTGATCGTCCATTGTTACTAGCCACGAGTCACATGGAGAAGAGAAACTCAAAGAAACGTGGAAGAAAACCCGGGCTCGGGCGAGAGACACCGTTGAACCACGTGGAAGCTGAGAGGCAACGCCGCGAGAAGCTGAACCACATGTTCTACGCTCTCCGAGCCGTAGTTCCGAACGTGTCGCGCATGGACAAAGCATCGCTCTTATCTGACGCTGTGTCGTACATCAATGAGCTCAAGTCGAAAATCGATGAACTGGAATCGCAGCTTCAGAAAGAGTGTAAGAAACTGAAGGTGGAAACGGCTGAGGGTATGGATAACCAAAGCACCACCACTTCAGCATCCCCTAATAATTCTTCAGCATCTCCTGCAACACGAGGCTCTGTTGGTCTCGATTTCAATATCAAGATCATCGGAAAATATGCGATGATTAGGGTTCAGTCAGAGAATGTGAACTGTCCAGCTGCAAGGCTAATGGTTGCCCTCCGTGATCTGGAGTTTATGATCCATCATGCAAGCATCTCATGTGTGAACGAGATCACGCTCCAGGATATCCTTGTCGCCGTCCCCGATAAACTTAGAAATGAACAAGGACTCAAATCTGCTCTTCTCAAGAGGCTCGACCAGTAAGTTTATTGCCATTGCGGTAGCCGGCAATAATAAGGGCTATTATGGTCGTGAAAGTGCATTTTTATCGCGGCCGCTATTTCGATAAGGGACTTTTATTTAAGTTCTTGGTAAGAGTGTGATTTATGTGAAAGTTCAATTATCTGTATTGTCGTTTTATTTGTCCGTCAAATCCCAGTTGTTTTTTCTTTGATTTGTATTTTCGATTCCTCGGGTTTCCCCTTTTTTATGTTTGTTTTCTGCTTGTCACGTATAATTAAGAGATAAAATCAAGCAGTTTGTTGTTCTCTTCATTCGTTGCTGTTCCCCCATTCTGTGACAATTTTGTGCTTGAAGCAAAACCAAACCTTAATGAGCCAAATCACGTAACAAGCATATATCTCCACAACTGTTAACAACTCGTATAAAAATAAAATATGAGTTAATTATACAATAGACCCTCAAACTATGACTTTCATTCTAAATTAGTCCTTAAATTTTAAAATATTTTATATCAATCCTTAAACTATCAATATCGTTCTATTTTGATCTTTCTACAACGTATCATGAACTTTATTGGTTAAAAAATTAATATATTCTTGCGGTCTTGAAAATTGAATATGTGGCATATTGTTTTTAATATGTTTTTGAAGATCATGTGATTCTTTTAGAAGATTACAAGTTCAATTCTCAAGATCTTCAAAAATAAATTAATTTTTTAACTAACAAAGTTGATGATATGTTAACAGAAAGATCTAAATGGAATAATACTGATAGTTCGAGAACTGATATAAAATATTTTAAAGTTGAAGGACTAATTTAGAACACAGGTCATAATTTAGAGGTTGATATCAAGCATTTTAAAGTTTAAAGACAAATTTAGAATGAGAGTCAAGTTTGAGAACCTCCTATACAATTAACTCATAAAATAAATAGAGATTATGATATAAAAGTATAATCCGAATAGTGTTTTAATAAATATAAAAAAATAGTATATATTATGTTATGGAGTTAATTACACATGATATCTCCAACAATGACCTCATTTAAATTAAATTCTGTAATATTTTATGCTAGTCCTCAAACTATGATTTCATTCTAAATTGATTCCTAAACTTTAAAATGTTATATATCATTTCTCAAGCCATTAGTATCATCCTATTTTAATAATTTTATTAACATGTCATCAATTTTACTAGTGTTTAAAGGCCGTAAGAATTGAAAACATGACCACCTAAAAATAATCTATTTGTGAAGGTATTAAAATTAAACTAGTAACATTATAAAAAAAAAATCTATTTTTGAAGGTCCTGGGAATTTTTTAGAACGTCGTGGTTTAGTTCTCAAGATCGTAAAAAATAATTTTTTAATAAATAAAGTTAACCACATATTAATAGAAGAATCAAATGAAATAACACTGATAATTTAAAATTTTATATAAAATATTTAAAAAGTAAGGAATAATTTTAAATGAAGATAGCAATTTAAAAATTAATAAAAAAATATATTAAAATTTAATAATAATTTAGAATGAAAATCACAATTTATAAATATCTTATCCAATTATCTCTATGCTGTGTTTATGAATTAATCACGTTCAGTTTAGGTTTTTACCGCTTCAAGAAAAAAAGGAATTTCTTACTTAATAATTTACCCCAGATTAATCCAAAAAAATTAAACTACATTTACTAGAGTGGGCCAACGCTCTTAGATGAGGAACGGTCTCGGTTTTTTTTTTAATTTACACAATTAAAAAAGTAGTACATAAATTATACATATTCAATTCCTTGAGTTAAACTCGTGCAGCAATTCTTATGTGGTCCTGAGGAGGCAGTCAAGTAGGCTCTGTGAAATTTGCAGGTATGAAGCGGGGATTGTCTCGATAAAGGCAGATTAATATACTATTAATATATACGGTATTACCAGATATATTAAAAGATATTTAATAAATTCAGTTTAGCGCTACCGGAAATATCAAGTAATAATAATGTAATAGGTGGAAATCATGAAGAAATATTAAAAAAATTGGCAACCGGCAAATTTAATTTGTCGGTTTGTATCGATACTTTATAAAAATATATTAATCCATAATAATATAACAAGTAAAAAAATGACAAAACCGGTCTATAAATGATAAAACAGGTAAAGCGCTACCGGATATATTGAAAGTGTCGATACTTTATAAAAATGTATTTATCCATAACAATATAACAGGTAAAAAAATGACAAAACCGGTCTATAAATGACAAAACAGGTAAAGCGCTACCGGATATATTGAAAGTGTCGATACTTTATAAAAATGTATCGATCCATAATAATATAACAGGTAAAAAAATGACAAAACCGGTCTATAAATGACAAAATAGGTAAAGCGCTACCAGATATGTTGATTGTGTCGATACTTTATAAAAATATATCGATCCATAATAATAAAACAGGTAAAAAAAAATGATAAAACCGGTCTATAAATGACAAAACAGTTAAAGCGCTACTAGATATGTTGATAGTATCGATACTTTATTATAAGTATCGACACTTTTGGAATTTAAAAGAGAAGAAGTTATAGCGCTAATAAAACGTCGATACTTTATAAAAATGTATCGATCCATAACAATATAACAGGTAAAAATATGATAAAACCGGTATCGAAATGACAAAACCGGTAAAGAGCTACCGGATATGTTGATAGTGTCGATACTTTATTATAAGTATCGACATTTTTGAAATTTAAAAGAAAAGAAGTTATAGCGCCAATAAAGTGTCGATACTTTATAAAAATATATCAATCTATAACAATATAACATGTAAAAATATGACAAAATCGATCTCGAAATGACAAAACCGATAGTAAAAAATTGTGTTTGTGTGTCATTTTTATTTCAGAACTTTCATTTTTTAATACAAAAAATTAGATATTTTAAGCAAAACCCAGTAAGAAAAGAACAAAAACTTTACAGTAACAAAAGAATAACATTGGGAAACCCACAATGTTATCAGTTTATCAAAGAACAAAAACCCAGAAACAAACATCTCTCAACGCAAACTTATGATATACTTTTATTATCTCTATAGTATAAAGTTAGGTCAATTTTAGTTTCTCAAAGAATAAACTTATGATTGAAGAACTCAAACTGGTGCACGCATAAGTGTCGATGCAATTATGAAATGTATCAATTCAAAAAATATCGAAATCGATAATTATTATGTAACAGGTAAATTTATAATATAACCGGTAAAAATATACTGGTTAATTAACAAATAGGTTTATATTATGTATCGACACTCTTAAATATGTGTCGATACTTTTTTCCCAAAATGAAAGCACAACGAGGCGCACGCATAAAATGTCGATACATTTAAAATTTTATCAATTCCAAAAACATCAAAACCGATAATTATAATATAATAGGTAAATTTGCAATGTTACCGGTTTAAATATACTTGTTTAATTAGAAAATAGGTCAATTTAAGCGCTACCTATTACATTATATAAGTGTTACCTAATATATTATTGTACTTGATAATATTTCCGGTTAAATGATATAACATAACTGGTCTAAATTTTAATCAATTACTTATTTAACATATCACATCTTTTTTTAACCATTTTTTAGGCACCGCACAACAGAATCACCCATGAATAGGAGGTTTATTATTCTATGAATTTGGATGCTCTCTTTTGAAACCGTTTACGCCCAAAGAATTGAATGAATACGCAGTAATTGGTGTCAGGCTTCACGAGAAGGGTACCTTGAATCTGCACATCTATGTTCTCACCATCATCCAAAATTGTGGTCAAGCATATTATAAGGTTTTACTACTATGGAACGTTTTCTTAATTCCTTGAGTGGATTTAAGTTCTTGATTAAATGCACAAATAAATTTACCTCAGTGATAAGAGAAATTATTGTTGTTTTCAGAGGTTATGAGTTCGAATACAAACGTCTCTGATTAAATGAATTCATCATTCAATCTTAATGATAAAAAAAACATTAAATATTTTAGAAGTTCTGGATTTGAGCAGCAACCTTTATAGGATGTGTTTGCGTTGTCAGTAGATTAAGATAGTTCTGAACGGATAATATATTGTAATTATCCCAGAATAATAATTTTTTTAATTAAATCTATTAAATTTACTTAATGCTAAATATAAACATAAAAGAATAAAAATAAACAATTTAACTGATCGATTAAATATATTTGCTCATTACGTGATAAACCTTGACGTGCAAAACAAAAAAAATGAAAATACATTATTGCCTTTCTGTGTTCATACACAGATACTTATCGTTATATATATTTCTGTGTTGAGACATAGATAAATAATTATCCTTTATACTGTACAAATATTAAAAGAGAAACATCCAATCAAAATTGATCCTAGGATGGAAACCATTCACTGTACAAAACATTACTGTTCATTCAGCCTAGACTCCACAGGCGACAGTGAAACATCCGTCGTGCACCTTGAAAGACAACAAAACTATCAATAATTTGTTTCTTGGCTCAATAAATAGATGCTTTACTTGAGTTTTAAGAACCCTCTGGCTCGGATTAAAGTAGGACTGTTTCCTCTCGTCTTTTTAAGGCCAGGCCCAACCTTCAAACTATTTACTACTACCACCTCTCAAGTGTACGCCCAACCCTTAAATCATTTGTCTTAGATAAATTATTGAAGTTTTTTTTTAAGAGTAGAATACTAGTTGAGTTGCGACGACTTTCGGAAGAGATTTAAATATTTTCTTATCAATATATATATATATTTTTTTTTTATGAATTGACTGATTGTGAATTGTAACGAAACTTGAAATGTCTCGATTGGATATCGAGAATTCAAGTACATCTATCATATTCAGAAGCACTGCTGAATTTCGCATGCAAATCTTACAGAGCCTAATTACTGTCTTTATCCCTCCAGCGGAAGCAAGAGACAAAATCATGACAAGTGAAAGAAGAAAGTTTGCATGCCTCGTCAAACTAATTAAAATATTATTCAGAACGACCGAGAAAGGTTCCTGGAGATTCATAGGTGTTTTCATTTCCCTCTTACAATAAAATTTGTTTGATTGTTTCCCCTCTTCTATCTTATAATATTATACAGAGGTTTTTACACCACCACGGGAAATTTCAGTTGGATCACAATACAGATACAGGCAAGCTTTTCCATCATCTTACCCCTTGCTCTTTATAATTTGGCATGCCACGAACCTCAAACAAACTAACAAACAGACAGTTGAAGAGCAACGAGAAGATTCTAAAACCGTTCGACTGAGATCACTAGAGCTATCTACTATACACATTCACCAGCATCCAATCAAAACAACTGATTCGGGCAGTCACTTTGCCTCCTCTGCTACATGCCCACCAGCTGTGCTGCCCTGTCCATCAGCGGTCAGCACCAACTTCAGAGCCTTCTTGCTTGTTTCCACCACGTCCATCATTTTGGCACGAAGTTGGGGGGGCACCACCACTGCTGCCACTTCCTAGAGTAGCCTTGGCATACATGGGGTGAATGCCATTATTGGGCCCTCCAGGTCTGATTCCCATTTGACCTTGCATCGCTTGTTGATGCTGTTGTGGATCCTGATTCTGATGTGGGCTATTGAATTGCAATGGCACTTTTGGGGGGTAAATACCAGGTTGCTGCACCATTGCTGCAGCCTGAGGATGTTGCATAAAATATCCTCCTGGCTGCATTGCAGGATGAGGTGCCATCTGAAATGGTTAAAAACATGAGACCAAGCAGTGTAACCACAGATAGAATGGAAGAAACTGCTTACTTTTAAAACTCACCTGAGGCGGCATTGTTGGCGTTGTTTGCGGTTGAGCATCCGCAATTGCAGCTAAGTACATTAAATTCTTTTGCAACTGAGCTTGATACCTAAAACATCAAAAATCTTATAAGTGCATTGCCCAAATTTCATGCATGTAGCATATGTTCATGTTTCAATACGAAAAAGCAAACAATTATTTTATGCAAAAAAAATGCAAACATTCAGCATTGACCTTCAAATACTTCCATTGCATCAACTTCTAGGTGTATAGGTTGATAACTTCCTCTCTAGAATTTTAACCTCCTAGGTACAATCTTGATGAATAACCACTAAGATCATTGATTATCAGTTCCAGCCTTGGTTTTAAAAAGCGTAAGGCGCCTAAGGTCCTAGACGCCGAAGCGCTAAGCGAAAGCGCTCGCTTTATGCACAAGAAGCGCCAGAAAGGCCGAAATTCACAAAAAAATACAAAATATTTATAAATTATCTTATAAATACTTAAATATCAAAGTGTCAATACATATATTCAAAACTTATAAGTACTTAAACACCAAAATATAATTCTCAATTTACTTATAACTTATAAGTTATAAACACTTAAATACTTATATACGATTAACCATACGACTATACGAGCATACTAATCTCAAAAGATGGTCTACACTAAAAGTAGTCTAAAGTGAGATGAACAAAAGTATTTTTCTAAACCCTCAATTCCTTATAACTAAAAAATCCTCTAAATCGTCATCGTCATCAACTCGGACAACACCATCTCCTTCATCACTAGACACTCCAATATCTTCTTCCATCTCATCTTCATCAACTAAGCATCTACGAGATGGTCTACTAGAGATAGGATTATGAGCAGGAGATTTTCCTTTATCATTTCTCGATGGTCCGGCTCCATCATTCACTACTTTTGATGCTCTAGTTAGATAACTAGGCTCATATGCACCGGAAGCGTTAGCAACATCACTCTATGTCAAATCCTCACCAACAAACACCGCCTCATCATCATCTTCATCTTCTTCCATTCTTCCCATCAACCACTCATTGCTCTCATCAATATCTTGCAAAAGAATGGGATCGGTCTCCTTACTTTTTGCTCGGCGCTCCAAGGCATGATTGAATTTCACAAACACCATGTCATTCAATCTAGATTGTGCCAATCTATTTCGTTTCTTAGTGTGAAGCTACAAGAAAAAAACCAAAACTGATAATTTAATAGCCCGCTAAACCCTAAATAAGCCCAAAAATCGTATCTGCTAAAGTCCAGAATCGTAACTTCTAAACTCGCGATTAAGCGCCGATTAGCGCTTTGCTAAAAGCGCTGCAAAAGCGCCGATTACTACCGCTTAATGAATTCGTAGTGCTTTTGCTATGCTGAAGCGCCAGGGGCCTCGCTCGCGTCGCTTAGCGCTTTAATCACGCTTAAGCGGCGCTCTTTTAAACTAAGGTTCCAGCATACACTGTGCTAATGATCAACAAACAATACATATGCTAATATAAGTCGGGTTTCTATCCTGAATCCTTGATGGTGCGTTATGCACAAAAACCAATATATTCCAACATTTGTAGGTTCAGCTAACAAAAAGAATGCAAGATATCCGGCCTTCTAAGCATTAATGAACCTAAAACGGAGAAGTGAACCCCAAAGCTCTTCGTCCCCAAGGTGATAACATCGAAGAAAAGCCACATACAACATAATGCAAATATATATATTCTAAAACTAAGATGTTAATTTAAAGTCTCATGCACCAGTAAGGCAGATAAAATACAGAAAGAGAGATTATAAATTACTTACTGGGCACATTCAGCAAGTTTTCCAAGATTCTGATTGTCCAAAATTGCCAAAATCAACTTCTTGTTCTCATCAAGGTGCTATTAAAATGTGAAAAGAAAAGGAAATCCACAAGAAACCAAAATAGAAACAAAATGGTTATATTGAGATAGAATGCTGAAAACCAACTTGATGTGCTAGATGCATGTCATCATTCAAGATTGTGAGCCTTTTGCTTTCAACAACAACAACCGAAAAGAAACCAGCTCAATCAACCCCATAGGAACCAACAAAAGGATTAATTAGATCCCCTGCATTGCTAATACTTCCATTCATTCTCTCTAATGTATACATTACCGTTACCAACTTATTATAACTTCTTTAAGACCAACATCAACCTACCATAAGCAGTTCCAACTAAATATTAATAAAGGTCCAATAAATTCATGAAAAAGCACAAGTCTTCCATCTCATAAACAGTTTCAGACATAGCTAACAAACACCATAAAATTGAAAAGTTCCAGGTCAGCATCTGTCTCTCCATACGGTCATAACTTCAAAGTACAAGCATTACACACAACATATAAAGGGGTAAATAAACGAAAATAAAAGGAAAAATTAATGTAAATATATGTACCTTCTGAATTTGCTCGGTGGTGATATTATTGGTCGGAAACGAAGGCATCGAGGGAACCATTTGCGGTGTCTTCTGCATCTTGTGTGACGTTTTACTTCACTTTACTCCAATGGGAAACCCTAACCCTGATCACCCTCAAGAACCTTCCCTGAAAGAAACCCAAAACAAAACCCTAAATTGAAAAATCCCCAAATTTTAAAACTTCGACTAGGAATGAAGGTATTTACTATTTGATTAAATTATTATAGTGACCACTTAATTATTTTTTTATTTTAATTATTATTTTTAAAATTTTATCAATTAAATCACATAACTATTTAAATGATTTAATTAAATCATCTGTCAATAACATTTGATGAAAGTATTAACATGATGGATAATAAAATTAGTATTATTATACATTTAATAATTAATATTTATATATTCTATTAATTTAGTCATAATTTTTATTTAATTCAATAAATTTAATCATCTAATTAGATAATGACACATTTCATCATTTGATTAGAGAATATATATATATATATATATATATATATATATATATATCAACTCAAATAAAACTTGTCACCCTTGTTGATAAATTGTTAAACTCGTCACGATCAAAAAATAAAATAAAATTTGTAATATAAAATGAAATAAAATTGCATGAAACTTGCTATCTCCTTGTGACTAGTTTTAATTTTTAATATATTTTATAAAATTCATCACCTTTTGTGATAAATTTCATATTTAATATAATAAATGATTTAGATTCTAAATTAATTTTAAAAACATTTGTATTTTTTAAATTTTTATCTCGCCTAAATTATTTAACGAACGAAACATATTTTTTCATGATAAAATGTTACTGTAAAATATGTTCGAAAGAGATGTTTCTAATGGCATTATAAAATGTAGATTGTAAAGATCAATTAAAAGTATTAGGATTAAATCTCAAAGTTGAGTATTGAGGATGGACGAAAGCAATAGTTTAACCTAAAAGGAGAGTCAAACCAAGTTTTACTTTATGTTCGAGGAACCAAAAAGCACGCCCAAATTACATTTTCCCAATCAACCTTTTTCCCGCTAATGGAAGTTCTCTCTTCACGATCTGCGCGCCGGCACGGTGCTTACTGATTAGGAGATTACCCTAAAACGAAACCCAGAATACCAATAACCTCAATCCCAAACATCAATTAACCTAACCCTGAACCCTGGCTCCCGACATCTGGAAACGCCTGTTCCCGGCCCGATCCCGAAGACCACTCCCGATCATTCCCCAAATCGGGATAACCCGCCGGTTCACTCCCCGAATGGAAATAAACCTCTTCAAGTTTTGCTCTGGTCTCAGAGTCCTCGGTTACGTCATGATCCTCCTCGTCGCCTCAATTATCGGCGTCTCTTACTACGCCGTCGTTTTGCTTACGCGTGGCCCACAGTTATTCCGAGGCGGTTTCCACTCCCTTTTATCGTTCACCATCGTCATTGTATTCCACGTTCTGGTACATATGTTTCTTTGGTAATTAATTTTACTGCTCGTTCATTTGTTTAGTTTAGCTACTCTAATATAATTTCATTTTTCATTTTTGTTTGCAGCTTGTACTTCTGTTATGGAGTTATATTAGAGTAGTGATTAAGAACCCCGGTTCTGTACCTGAAAATTGGAGAACTGTTTCCGTGGAGGAGAGTTCGGAGGTTGGTAATTCTTTGGCAGCGGCGGAAGATGGATTTGAGAGAAGATCACGTGGTGGTGGTTATTGCACGCATTGTCAGAATGGAAAGCCGCCACGGTGTCATCATTGTTCTATTTGTATGTCAAATTTTAATCTTTAAGTTCTTTTTAAAGATTAAACTTATTTTGTTAACTATTTAAGATCGAATTGAAGAAGGACAAGTACCTAGCTAGCTTTGAATGAAAAAAGGGGGACTTTGAAATTAGGGATTAATTAAGTCATGGAGAGTAAATTAAGAACAGCTAGCTTTATTGAAATTCTCTTATTGATATTAAAAATTGCCTTAATAACCTTCTAGTATAGTTTTTATATTGAAACTCTCACTCTCTACTCTCTAGTAGAACTCCTATTAACATAACTCTCAGTTCTTATTAGTATTACTCTCTAGTCTAATAATAGTTGTATTAGAACACAAAAGATATACTTGAAAAAAACTAACGTAAGCTGATAACAAAAAAACCTGATCTAATAATTAAATTAAACTTGGATGCTCCTTCATCATTCTCCCCTGGTTGGGAAAAAAATAGCTTCCTCAGTTGCAAAAGTTTTGACCAAAGTCGCATGGATGCACATAGCGTTTCTAACCACTAAGAAAGGTCGTCTACAGTCTTAAAAGTTGTCTTCCATTCATCAACACTTCTCAACCTATGGTGGTGATAACCATTCTTCATATCAATCTTTGGAATAATGATAGAAACAACAAATTGACCAATCATAACATTCAACCAAGACTTCTCCATGATAATATGATCCACATCCGTGGTATGATGGTAACATGACACAAGGGATGATCATAAGGTGAGCTCTCTCTTTAAATAATGCTTCCATCTCTTGGATTTGACATCAATATGGTGATGTTAACACTTCTTTTTGGGGCTTTGACTGGGATCCTTCTCATCACCCAAGAAATCATCTATTTTGATATCTTAGTTGATCTTATCATATCACCTGACCTCTGATCTTCCTCATAAATTCACCATCAGAGATCTCATCACTCTGATAATTTTCTAGTTACTTAGTATATTTATACAATAAAACTCTCATAGTCCTATTTACTCTCTAGAAGAATAGTTGTACTAGAACTCTTACTAAGAGTTCTATGCTAATCATTTAAAAGAGCACAAAAGATAAACTTAGATGAACTTAAAGAAAACTAAGCGTAAAATTGATAAAAATGATCCTAATAATCAAATAATTAAATTGAACTTGGATGCTCCTGCATCATTAGGGATTAGTTGGGTTTGGTTGACATTGGGAAAGATTGCTACTTAATTCAAGGAGATGAGGGAAGGTTGGGGTGATAATTCTACTTTGGCAACCTCTCTTGTAGATTTTTCAAATGGTCTCAGATACTATTTCCCTAGAATAATTCTACTGATTTTAATCGGCATGAATGAAGTATCAAGTATGAGAATGAGTCAAGTTGATAGCATGAAACATGACCTTTTGTATTGTGTTTCTGTAGGTCGAAGATGTGTTCTCAAGATGGATCATCACTGTGTCTGGGTGGTGAATTGTGTTGGTGCATGCAACTATAAATTCTTTCTTCTTTTCTTGGTAACTTCCATTTCTCTTGCACAGTAATTTGTAGTTGTGGAATAAGATTTTAAGAAGTATGTCCCATCTTTCTTTTTCTATTTATGCTCGTCACTTTAGGTCTGTCTTTGTCTAGAAGTTTTTTCGTGTCATATTTTGATTGAAGAGTTCCATAACTAATTTTACCAGAAAAGATCTGTTAGGCTTGACCTAATGAGCCTAAGGAGGAAGGGTTTGCAATGGTTATTTGTTTTGTAAACTCTTTGAGATATCTAAGAAAGAATTTCAGCTATCCTACTGCTATTTTTTGCAAATCTTTAACTCCAGCATTTGATTTAATTATGTAATTAATACTACTAATGTATAAAAATGTTGAATATTTCTTCATGCCTTTTGGTTCCTGTTGCTCCATTTCATCTTGGCGCTTTCTTTTGTTCATATCTTCTTGGGCAGGATTAAGTAACTTTACATAGGGTTCGATGTTTTAGAATATGCATGTAAATGTTTTTTATGCCCTTAAAAGTTCTGCGATCTCATTCCATTTCCCCCTCCCCCCTAATAAAATGGCATCATATTCTCAAACTGAATGTTGGCTTCTTATATTTAACCTTGCTTAGAAAGTATGATCTTCTCTGCCCCTTACCCTTCTTTTGATAAAAAGAAAGGGGGCAGGAATGGCCATCTCATCTTTGTTTTGTTTCCTGATATTCGTTTCTCTGAATAAAAGCTATATACATTTTTGGAGACGACACTAGTCACCGTAGTGTTACTGCCAAGTTTTATCAACTTCTTTCGTGAAGCAAAGAATCACTCCGCCTCTCCTGCCAAATCAGCGATAATATTTTTGGCATTTGGTAAGTTATCAACTCAAGATGATTAAGTCATTTTCAGTTCATCATATTCGTTTTGCATTCTCATTATTTTCGTCTTTCTTACAGATTCTGTTCCTTGATGCAGTTCTTAATTTTGCTTTTGCTCTGAGTCTTGTTTGTTTCATCACCATGCATGCATCTCTTCTATCAAGCAATACGACATCAGTTGAGGTATAACGTATGGCTAATATTCTTCAACCATCTTGATTTTGTAATGGTGTTTTATTTTGTTTTATTTTGTTGCTTAGGGATTTGGTAGGCAGTAAGATGTTGATTTTATCTGTTGTTGAGAATCTATATGAAGCTCATGCTTTTATTTTAAACCATCACTCTTGAGTAATGATACTATCATTGGGATAGGCTGTGTATTTGAAGGTTATATTTGATAGTTTATGTATTATATATTAACTTTCTGAAACAATTTTTCAGGTTCACGAGAAGAGAGGACTAGTCAGATGGAAATATGACTTGGGAAGGAAAAAGAATTTTGAGCAGGTGAATACTTGGTTTGCATACTCACTGAGCTTCTTGTTTTATTTATCTATCGACGTGAGTAAGAGGAAACTTGATCTATTTATTGAGAGATTCATTCAGGGTTCATAGTGGTATAATAATTAAGGCATGTATAGTAATGCTTTGGAGGGGGGATTCCAAGAAATCACATGATGCCCTTTTAGTCGAACATCTGGCAAGTCATTTTAATAGCTAGTGATGTACCATGCAATACGATGGTCATGCATATCTTAATCGGAATTAGCGGTAAATGGGGTTCTTACTCTTTCTGTTTTTGCGTATTCCGTGTGTCATATGATCCATTTTCACTGATTAAGGTATTTGGCACGAAGAAAAGCTTGTGGTTCTTCCCATTGTTCTCGGAAGATGATTTAGACAACATACCAGCACTTCGCGGCCTGGAATTTCCAACACTTTCAGATGTTGAGGCATGAGCTTTTAATGAGAGGAAATATGACCTCAGTTGTGTATCATGTTGCCACATTATTACCTTAGGTTTGACGGTATGTACGTCACAACATAATTGTATTTGATGATAATCGACATATTCTAGTGCTACTGGTTTGAAGTGAATGTGAGTAAAAGCTGTGTCAAAGTTTCTTTGTTGTTCAAGTTTTGAGAATAAAGAATGTTGTTAGCAACGTGACATTTTAGAGTAGAATTCATTGGCGATTGCTTGAAATTCATATGTTTCAGCCCCCCATCCAGCGGTGTTTCTCTTCTATGTGGGATGTTGTTGACGACAGTGACAAACGAACTGGAACTAATTTTTCCGATGACAATTAACCACTACCAGCTCTTATCCCATTAGGCTACGCATGTTTCATGTAGGAAGCTATGTTGTCCCTTCATCAAAAGTCAATAGCGGCCGGCAGATGATATATATATATATATATATATACCAATAAGCTATCGCTTGCTTTGGTTTCTGATTTATTAAAACTCGATGCACTATTTTTATTAAAATATCGCTTTCGCCACCCTCAATTGCTTTTGAATGCCACGTTGATGAGTAATTAAGAATGCAAATTGAAACTTGGAACGATTAAAGCATAAAATGATTGAACTCGTGTAAAGTCTGAAATAACTCAATTTTAACTTTTTTCTTGATTAACTCAATTTCAACTTAAAACTTAACAGAGAAACCGAAATTACTTGAATTTACTTAAATCTAATACGATCAAGGTCTCAAATTATTGAAATAATCTCTCTAAAAAAATCTAGTAACAAAAAATTAAGAGAGAATAAAAACAACTGAAGATATATTCCTGAAATTTTAGGAGACCTATATTGACACGTGACTAGAATGGAGAGGATTAAACTAGACCATGCGACTAATTAAAACAAACACTGAGGAGGACAACCATTAAAGTTAACAAGTAAAAGAAAACTGGGGAGGATAACATTCTGGGTTTAGTTTGCCACTTTGCATTTCAATTTCCTGCTCCTCCTCATCATCATATTCTTAATTTCACCTACCACATCTTTCATCACTTGATCATATAAAATCAAAGAAATTGGTATCCCATCACTATCCAATGCTTTTAATTTACATGAATCTATCATAACAAGTAATCTAATGTAGTGTAAAAAAGAAGATAAGGCATTACGAAGGGTAATCTAGGCTGCAATTTCAGGGTCATGAACCGGTGAGCCATCTGTCGGTCTTACTTTCCCATTAAAACTGCAAATACCGGAAACAAAAACGGCGAACCAAACCATGAGTGGAGTTACAAACAGTACAAGACCAAAGGGTACCATCCAAAGCTGACTATTTGTCCGATGATATTCGTATTCCCACCATCCCAACATCATTCCTCCGCTCAAACTCACCAAAAACCACCGTAACCAAGCTATGCATGTACTCACTATCTTCTCTAATTCCTTCGTCGTGCTCTCCACTCGCTTCTCTTTATCAGAATCCATAGCAGCAAAACCTGTGTTGGTTTAAGCGTAGCAAGAAGAAGAAATTAAAGACGAGAAAAACAAGACTAAAAAAGTAAGATTCTCATGGCATGGGATCTGATTTTAGATGATAATCAATCCAGGTAAGAGCGACGAAAGTAACAATCAGACGTGGCTTTTATTATAAAAGTCACTATAATTGACCATACTAATAGGTAAAAAAAAATTGTGACGGAAGAAAGTGATTGCGTTTCAGCTTGTATCAACTACCATATCTGCATGGATGAATCCTGGGGAAGATTCGTTTGGCCTTTTTATAATGGTTCGTTGTTGACAGCTGCCTTGTTTTCTTCCATATAAATCATATTTGAATCAATGAACACCAATAAAAAAAATGATTTTTTTGTTAGATTCTATCTACCAAAGTCCATGAAATTTAAGTTGTGGATACATATCTAATTTAGTAATATTACCATTTAGTATATGTTATTTCTAACAATATAATATAAGACATTTATTTACTAAAGGTTTAGGTTTGAATTCGAATTTAAGTTTGAACAAAGCTTGAGTTTGAGCTTCAACCGAATTAAGTTTGAGAATGTTTTGAATTCAAGTTTTTGGAGCTCGAGTAGCGCTTCAATTCTTGATTTCGAGTCAAGCTTGAAAATTTTAAGCTCGCGAGCTTTCGAGTCGAGCTTCAATTTTTTAATTTATAGTTTGAAATAGAGCTTGACAAGTTTAAACTTTGTGAACTTTTGAGTCGAGTCAAACCTAATTTTAAACTTTTTAAATCGAGTCAGGCTCAACAATACTCGAGTTGGGCTCGGCTTGTTTAAAGCGGTACTTTCATGGGGAAGAAATACTGATTTCAGTAATATTTTATTACGTGGGAATTCACTTTTGGGATGTCAATGAACAATTTAGCCTAGGATGTGGTGTAGGTAGCGGGTGGAGCAAGAAGACTGATTGAGTGGCTATGATTCATCATGTTGAGTGATATCTACAATTCGTCCGGGTCAAGGCCCATCCCTTAACCCGTGGTCCACAGAAGTAGCCTGCGCATCACTAAGCCCAGACCAGACCAGAACTCAAACTCGGGTCAGATTCAGATCTAAATCAACTGGGATCCATAAAGAATTTACCTTTCTTCTAAACTCCATCGGTTTCAATGAATATGTTGAATACTAACCAGCAGAGCAGAGTCTGCCTGCCACAGACGTAGAGATTTGAAGGTTCAATTCAAGCCCTTCCCTTCCAATTAACTAATTGATGAGTGCTTAAAAGTGGAACATGAATTCTGCTTCTTAATTCATATGTAACTATTTTTGTTCCAGCCCTTCATTTCTGGAATGTAGGTAGCATTGTTTGAAATGACTTCATTTGAAACAATAAGCTTCAATTCTGTTGTCTGACATGCCGTGGAGCTCCGGAGAACTCATTGGAGTTCCACAAGGTAATACTTTGGCTTCATGCAGAATCCATTTTGAACGTGTTCAATAAGATGTCCAATCCTTACGTTAATTTCCTGTCCCCCCTGTAATTAAGGTATAAATGGATGGTTGAAAAATAAATCATCTTACCATGAGCCTTTACTCTGAAGCTTCAACCATGTATGGGTTCTCATCTTTTAATACGACAGTTGTACAAACTATTTTAGTTGGGATTGAAAGATGTGGTCTGGTCTGGAAAGCTCAACACATTGCTGGAGAGTAAAGATGATTTCCTTCTTTCTTTCTTTGATGTTCTTGTTGTATCGACGTGGACCAAACTAATGTTTCCCTTGAAGAAACCAATTTCATTGATTTTTTTTAAATAAATTATTATATATTTTAAATAACAGTCTAAAATTGTGCCCCAAAATCCCAAATGGCATCTTACTGTTCTTTAAGTCCTGCAAACAACCATTCTCACGATTTATTTCAAGTGTGTAACATTTGGACACACAATTTCTACTTGGTATTTCTCAAGGCCACTTTTTCTTTCATGTCATAATTTAATTTTGTTCACAGACAATTTTATTTATTAAAAAAATTATATTCAATAGTTACGAGTTTAAATTCTTATACTAAAAAAAAATGTTGAATGGAACAAAAATAATCCATGAACAATAACAAAAAAAATTAAGTTCTTATTATTTTATTACACCCAATTGAATATTTAATCTTTTATCTTTTATCAAATAAGTATTTTGATTGGTGATTGTCTACGATTAATTATAATCTCTAGAAATTGATGATGAGATGGTTGTTTTTTATTTATTTATTTATTATTGTATGTATAGATGATTTCGTTGATATGATATTATTTTATTATATATGTTTGAAATGAATATAAATTTTTAAGAAAGATAATGAAATTTTTTAAAAAGTAGAATCTCTACAAAAAAAAAAAACTAAGGTTCCATTTGTTTCCAGGAAAATAGATTTCAAAAGATGAATTACATTTTCTGGAAAAACATTTTTTGAAAATCATTTTACGGTATTTGAATGATGTTGTGTAATTTATTTTTCACTGGTTGGTAAATTTTTAAAAAATTTATTGTAAACATCAAATACAATGAACAATATTATTTATTAAAAAATAATATTATTTTTAAAATATTTGAATAATTTATTTAATATTATTTATGTCAAAATTATTATTAAAATATTATATTATGATTATAATAATTTTATTAAAATAAAATTATTATAAATTATATTAATTATTTATTACAATTATAATAATATATTATTAATTATATTAATTATTAATTAAAATAATAATATTATTAAAATATTAAAAAATATAATATTTAAATAAAAATATTATATTATATTTTAAAGAATATATATTAAATATTCAACAATTCAGTAATATTATTTTTATTAAATTAATAAATAATATTAATTTACTAATAATTTATTATTTATTATAAAAATAAAAGTATAATATTATATATTATAATAATATAATTATAAAAACAAAATATTATATTATATTATTAAAATTATCAATAAATATAATAATTAATATTTTTTATTAAAATGATATTAAAATAATATATTAATATTACATATAAAAAATAATAATGTTTTGAATGTTTACGCTTTAAAATGAAAAGTTCGTAAAATAACTTACGAAAAATCAAATGGTAAGTCATTTTCTAGAAAATACAAAGAAAATTCAATTGACCAGGAAAATGAATTACGTTGACATCTGTTTTCCGCTAACCAAACACTGGAAAATGAGGAAATTTTTTTCTAGAAAACCAATTACAGGGGAACAAACAGACCCTGCATAAAATTTTAATTTCTTAGAAAACTATTTTTTAAATGTTAGTAAATATTAAATCATGCTAACAATTTAAAATTTTGAAAAATAATTTTAGAGAAACAAATGCTCTAGAAAAGTAAAAATATAAAATAAAAATATTTATAAATTCAAAAAGTTAATATATAATCTATAAAATATCTTCTCCTAATATATATAAAAAAATTGATAGCATTGTGTAAAATATGAATGCTTTGTTTTTAAGTAGACAACTCCATTTTGACATGAAATTCATTGTTGTGTTACTGGTGGGTTTGAAGCTCAGAATCGGCATTTTCCAAGGCAGTTATCGTGGGGAAACTTTTGCATGATTTTGCGACGTGAAAGATATTAACTCAATAAAAAATTAGTCCCAAT